TGCTACTTCCGGATCTATTCCCTTCATATCCTCGTGCTTCCACGCGAACACATCAGGGTTATTTGGAAGGAAATCGATGAGTTGGGTCCTTACCGGTTCCTGAAGATTGGCACCGATTTTTAACGCTTTGTTGCACGTCAGTTTGTCAACGTATATCAATTCGGTTTCTTCACAAGGTTCTGCTCGATCATTCCGACTTTTTTCTTTGACTTGAGTTCTTGGATCCAGTTCATCCTCATCTCGGATTGGCTCTTTGTCCGGTCGTCTTCCGGGATCCAAGTCTTCAGTTTGAACACCATTCGGGGTCAGCTTGACCTCGGCCTCCGGTTTCGTGACGTCGGTTGATTCCTTTTCGAGTGAAGGAATTTCTTCGTGGCCGTCATGACTAATCAGGTTGGCAACATGAATTTCCCCGGACGGTTTGGTTAAGATCAGTTCCCGTGCTTCTTTCTGATCTCCATAATGCGTTCCTTCTCCACATGATGTCGGAAATTTAAGAGCATACTGATAAATGGAGATCGCAGCCCTCAACTTGTAAAGAGCGGTTCTTCCAATGATGGCGTTATATTCATTCTTGAGGTCCATAACTTTGAACGTTTCAATGATCACCTTGGACGCACCGTCGGGACTTCCGAAGCGAATAGGTAAAGTTATTTCTCCAATTGGACAGGAAACACTTCCGTTGAATCTTTGTATTTTGTCATTGCAAGGTTTAATTTCGGACGGATCAAGGCCCATCTTTTCGAACGCCCTTAGCATCAATATGTTTGAATAGGCCCCTGTATCCACCAAAATGCGATGCACGGGTATACCACAAATGGGAGCTGTGATATTCAGAGCATCGGAATGCGGATGTGCAAACAGACTAGCATCTTTCGCACTAAATGTGATCGAACAATTTTGGGAATTTATCATTTCTCCGAGATCGGTAATTAGAACCTATTTTTCAAATTTATAGGCTTGCCGAACATAGGCTTTGGCTTGACGTCGGGAGAAGATCTTTCTGCTATGACTAGTGTTCACTCGCAAGACAATGTCTAAATCAGAATTCGGGGATCGGTCTCGTTTCGCTCTCCTCGAATTCTGATTTTGAGGAGCAATATCCGAAGTGAAGGTGGAAACTTCTTTGTCGCCTTGTCGGATTCTTTTAGGATTCGGTACTCGGTCATCCTCATTGTCTTCATCCAAAGTTTCAAAGTTTCGTCCCTGCCTTTGAATGTCTGGATTTTTGGCAAACCGTCTGAGTTGGGGGTGACCGATTAATCGCAACAAAACTGCCAACAAACTAAAGCATTCATCGGTGTTATGACCGGGAGACTTATGATAGTCGTAATACTTTGACTTGTCCAGTCGTTCCGGAGGTACCCTGACTGGCCTGGGCTCGGGTAATATTCCTTTTCCTTTTAGTTCTTCGTAAATAGTTGCGGCCCTGGCTGAGAAAACCGTTTGGTAGCCAGACTTCAGATCGTGTCGATATTTCTTCTGGGCTGCTCTCACTTCAGGAGAATTATAATCGTCTTTGGAGGACCCCTCGAGTGGGGGTCTTCCCGGTTTTCCACTCGAGGCTTTTTTGTTCTTTTTCGGGACCCCGAATTCTGACTTCGGTTCCTTTGAGGAGAAACTGAATCGGGGACTGACATTGACTCTTCGGCTATGATATGTTGTTGTGCTCAGGAAAGAAATTCCTGAAATGTATTAGGCTTATTCTGACAAAGGGTCCATAGGAACATGGAATTCGGTTTAAGCGCAGCAATGGGCGGTGACTAACAATGTTTCTGGATGGCAAGGCTCCATATTCTGAACTCGTTCATTAAATCGAGCAACGTACTCCTTTACGCTTTCATCATCCCGTTGGGTTATATTCGCGATAGATTCTTTGGGAATGAGACAAACCTGGGCCCCTATAAAATGTGAATGGAATGCCGACCTGAGTTGTTGTCATTTCCAGATGGAATGTGGAGGTAGAGAATGATACCACTTCTATGCTCGAGGTCCCAGGGTCAGGGAAAACATTCTACAACGCAGGGCGTCGGTGGCACCATGAAGATCCATCCAGGAAGTGTAATGTCCGAGATGGGCATCGGGATCCGAGGTCCCGTCATACAATCCGATTTGAGGGACTTTCACTTTTTCGGGTATTGGACCCAAAGTCAACTCGGGGGCTAAAGGTGATTCAACTTCCATATATACGTGTCCTGGCTCCGCGGGGTGGAAATTTGGTGGTGGTCGCGCGGGGATACCACGTCGGGCTTTGAGTTCGAGTTCGACGACTCGTCTCCTCAGCATCTCAATCTCCGGATTCTCACGTCGGTAAAGACAATTTGTCTCGATTCGTTGACGCAAGTCGGGAAGATTGTCTGGTTGTTGTGGTATCAGCTGAACAGAAGCGGCTACCCTTTGAGCATGTCCTGGGTGGCTCTCAGCCGTCGCTTCTTGCATATCATTCATGTCTGGTGGCGGTGCAGCCCCCACCGGAGGCCCTTGGCAATTATTATCTCGAGGATTGGACGTAGCGTGAGAGGTGGCGTGATGGTTATCGTTTCGTAGAGGTGGTTGTGCACCTTGTTGGATGGGTTCTGCCGGATTTACGAATGGCCCCGGCGCTGCCCGTGAAGTACTGGGAATCACTTGTGCTAATAAGGCTGTGATACCTCTCGCAATTTTTGGGTTTTGTAACAGCGTTGCTAAGTCTGGTGTTGCAGGAATATTAGTTGCTCGACCTGTTGGCTGATTCGCAGGAGCGTTGCTGACTCGTCCCACACGTTGTTGGATAGGATTAATTGCGCTTCCTCTAGTTGTGGGGTCATCTTGTCCTGACCGAGACATGGCTGAAACAACATGAATAACAGTGGCAGAGTTACATTTGTTGTCTGTACGTCGAAGATTAACCTCAAATACTTATGAGGCCCTTCCTCTAGGGCCAAACTGTTGTCGTATGGATTTGTAACAACATCAATAACGTGTTTGTGACAGAGATTAAAGCAGTGAATAACAATAAAAGGAGATTCAATTTATTGGTAATTGGTTGGTGTGTTCTTAACCGAGGTGAACGTAGTAATAAAATGTGTCCCCCCCCCTCCTGAGGGAATTTTACACTATTTATAGTAAATTTTTGTTACACGGTTTTCGAGGGATCCAATCATCTAGGAGTCATACAAAAAGGAACTTTAATTGGGCGGTTGGAGCAATTGAGCCCACGATTATGATGACGTTTGAGCACAAAACGTAAGAAGGTAGCGTAGGCGCCTTGTCACCTGCCTCGGGGCTAGTATCGATAGACTCGGTTTCCTCCTAGGTGGAGGGGGATGTCGGTTGACGATGGTATAATCTCGGGAGGTTGGTCTGGTCAGGAAGTTGGTGGTACTCCGAGGTCAGTGAGGACTTAGGAAGTGGATACAGACAGTTTATCATGTCGGTGGGAAAATGTGATTCCGAAGTCATAGGTGTTTTATATGAGAGGAATGTCTTTAACATAATCCGACGCCATAACCTTGCTTATAACTCCATTTAATACCGGATAACGATGATCACCAAGTCGATGGTCAACAGAAATTAAATATATGAAAATTCCTAAAATATAAATAGAAAATATGACTTGATTTTTAATAATTTAATTTCCACATGACGCCATTTGATTGGCCCCAAAATTTCTTCATCTACAAAGGAGAAATTTTTTTTAGTCCTTTGGAATTATTTATTTTTTCACATTTAGGATAGTCTTGAAAATCCGTGAACGAAAATGATAATGCATGTATGACAATGTTAGGAGATGTAACAATAATTTATGTTAGATAATATATATGAGTATCTTCTATCAATCAATGTTTGGCAATATATATGATAGATGAGTACCTCTATTAATCCTAATCTTTTAATGTAAATTTTATTTTCGAAATAATTACGACTTTAAAACTATTTTCAAATATTTATTTATCTCTTATGTCATTATATCCAGAGACAAAATACATATCTAAATATTATGTTATCCTATATATACTTGCAAATATAATTGAATTTCGAACCACTATAATCAAAATAATATATAATGAAACATTTAAACATAGTTGGTTAACTTCCAATCAACACTAAGAAATGATCATTATTAATGATAGTTATATCAAATTTGCGAAATTTTTCAAAGAGTGTGATGCAAAAGGGAAACATTAGAAAACTATATTATGATGACAATAATAATAATAATAGCATTAGATAACAAGATCAAAGACATTTCTTTAGCATTTAAAATTTCAAAAATAAAATATTAATTTTATTTTAGATTTTCAACCCAATGATTTTATATTTAAATTAATTATCGTAAAGTTTGGTTACGTACTAAATATGACATTTCATCATTCAATACATTTAATAATGTTTATCACAAAATACTCCATTTTTTTAAACTAATGGAAGGAAAATATATTATACTGTTAAATATAAATCTAAGAATAAAAATGATTTTAAGTCAAAACAAAAAAGCAACAATATCTTTGTAGCGTCCCAGTCGTATAATAGAGGCATCTCGATTATTTATTTTATTTATGTAGTTAGTTGCATTTAATTATTCTAAGCTTGACAAGTTCTTCGGACTAATTAGACGTTATTGTCTATTTAATCTGTTAAGAGAAATAATTTATTTAAACGCTAGTGTCTATTTAAATTATCCGAAGTATCAAATATTCGTTAGCTATTCGATTTTATTCGATTTATTTATTGAGGAATTTGCACCCTCTACAATTCAAAACTATTTATATAACATTTTTACAGCTCAATTAGATTTATTTATAAAATTGCTATTTGAAGGAAAAAATATTACAGATATACTAGCATTGTCAGTTAAGGAAATTTCGGGCTCTTAATTGTGATTAGATCATTAACTTAGATTAAGATATATCTCTACCATATTTACACAATCTTCATATTTTCCACCATTATCTCACTGCAAAAAAAACCGCACAGCCCACGTCTCCATCTTATCCCCAAGCCCAACTTCGATCCCTCTGTCATCGGCGACCACGATCCTCGATCATGCGGCACTGAACAATCAGGTTGTCGACTTGCAGGCCGTGTTCAATAGATACATGGTGGACGCCATTTGTTTTCTGGCCACCGGGTTCGACTGGCCTCCCTTCGGTTTGGGTTCCCCGAATGCCATGGACAATTTTTCCGAGGCCCTTTTTTGCAGGCATATTCTTCCAAAAGGGTTTCGAAGATCCAGCGGTGGCTCAAGGTTGGTAAAGAGAAGAAATTCGCGAAAGCGTGCGGGGTTTTGAATCGGATACTGGAAAGCATTTTTTTTGTTTGGTATATGTACAGTATATGTTCAGTATATGTGCAGTATATGTACATCTTAGGGATATTTACGATTATTGTACATCTTAGTTTATAGTTGGTATATTAGGCTATGTACAAATTAGTTTGTGATATGAGACGAAAAAGAGAGTTTTTTTTGATTGATTACTGTTTGTGTTGTTTTGGATATTCATATTAATGTTATTTGCTTTGTTTTTATTTGTAGTCTATTGATTGCTCGTCTTGCACAACATATACTGAAAATATACTGAATATAAACACAATATATACGGACCGAGAAGGGTGATGATGGTAACGAAGTATATTTTCATTGTACATATTAGTTTATGACCAATATATTTACAGTATATATACAGTATATGACCCGGCGTCCTGCTGAAAAAAAAACGATATATATACCATTAAAACGATATATATACCATTAAAAAAACGATATATATATACTGTTAAAAAACTGAGAAATCTATTTAATGAATAATCAAAGATAAAACAACAAATATAAAATAAAAGAACGAACCGGAATGTTCTTTCCCATACATGAACCATAATTTTTTTTTTGAGATATAATTATTCCATATATGAACCAATTTATTTATTTATTTATTTATTTATTTTTTTTTTTTGTTGTTGTTTGGTAACGGAATGTACGCTGCAATTAAGGGTGGAGGATTTATTTGTATGGTTATTTTATTCTTTTCGTAACTGTACGCGGCAATTAAGGGTGGAGGATTTATTTGTATGGTTATTTATTACTTGAGGTATATCTCTAATAAAATCCTAGATTTTAGGTATAGATACAATTAAAATTGTTCCACTTGTAAAAATATAATATTTTGTAATTCTTATAGGAAGCGTGAAAATTTCCCTTATTTATTTTTCGAACCGCTGCCAGCCGAATTTTCGTGTCCAATTTTTATTGACCTTTTAGTTATTATTTTCCCGGCCCAATTTTAAGGAATTTTTGGCACTTAGCTATCTCCTAAGTCCGGCCCTTGAACTTTATTTTTGGCTCCAAATAAAATTAAGTTTATTTTGCAAACTTAAAGGTCCAATTTAAGTGAGATTTGTTAGATATTTTTCAGCGACTTTTCAGTTGAATTTCTTCCCTTAATATATCCCTTTTACACACCATTTTATCTCCTCAAGTAGCAAGGAAAAATAAAAACTCTTTCATTCCTTATTCTCGAAGTGGAAAATGCTACAATCCCATTATGGAACCATTCCGTTGGGATTTGTAACTGTTAGATGCACAAGTGCATCTAATCTACATGTCATCTAACGGTTAAAAATCCCAAAGGAATGGTTCCATAACGGGATTTAAGCTTTACCTCTCTTATCCAAATTCCGATATATACATATATATCTATCACCTCACTCGTGCGATCAGATCTCACCAATTTTTAGAACCCCTCAGAAACGCTAGAAATCGCCCAAAGTCGAGCCAATCATAACCCTTAGCCCTTAAAATCCCAGCCTTCGATTTCCTGCTGAAGTCCACGCCGGTTTTCTTTTCAATAGGAAGCAGACAGCCGCACATCCGAGCGAGGAGCAGAAAACGTGCGTGGGCTTCTTTTCAGTGTAATACCAGCCTCTGTCCGCGCGTTTTGTACAAGAGTTAATTACCAGGTATATATATATAGGGTCGCGCTCCGGTGAGAATGGTTCTCAATGAAAGAAATAAGAATACATCCTAGAGCCGTCCGTTCGGATAATCCAACCGGTTAAAAAAAGTTTAACACTTATACTGATTATGGGTAAATTGGACATTTTTTAATTACACCAAAGAGAGGCCCCACCCATCAGATCCGACCCACCCCACCCTCCCTGTCTTTCACACGGACACACCCACAAACACACACACTCTCACACACACTTGCCGTCACAACTCGGCCCACCGATCACCGATCACCGCCCCGCCGCTGGCCTGTACCACCTCCACCGCCGCCATCTCAGAGAATGCCGCCTCCACAAGAGCAGACCACCGGAACTGACCACGGCCGCTGCCACTCTGCCGCTCGAAATTGCTGAGCCATCTCCAGTCGGTCCATAGCCGAAGTTCCTGTCCAGAAGAGGCCCGCGACGCCGCTCACCGGATTCACCATCCTCCGACGACCTCGAAATCGACTACAGAGATTCAAACAGATTGGGGCCTCAACTCACAGAAATTCATGGCCGATCGATTCGGCTTTGTCCAAGCATTTGTTCAATCAGTCATCATTTCTCTTGATGATGAATAGCACAATTACCCGGCTTATGGCATTCCGACACGGCGGAGATGATGGACGTGAGGCCGGCGCCGTCGAATATCACCGGCAAAAATGGACGGAAAATTCAATTTGGGGGTTTGGTTTTTTTTTTTTTAGGAATAAGAAAGAGATTCTCCCTTCGAGCTTGTCTAGTACCACCGATACGATACCAAAAATATATCTCAAGTGATTTGCTAACTTGCTTCCGTTCCTTCGCTTTCTTACCAGTGACAGATTCAAGATGAAATTAGATAGGTTTGAGGCAATTTCAAGCGGCATAGTGCATATGGTAAAATATGTAAATTTTAATAAATTTTGTTAATTGATATAATTAACTACCTTTTTAGTTAATTGAAGTTAATTGAAAGCTTTATAAATTTTAATTATATTATAATTTGGTTCATATGTAAAATATGTAATTTAATGAAACTTTAATAAATGCACTTAATTGTACAGTGCATTGCACCATATCGCGTTCGAAATTGCACATTAAAAATATCACTATACAAATTGCACTATATTGCTAGACAAATTGCACATTAGTGCATATGATATTGCACTTTATCACAACAGTTCATTTTGTGCAATGACCAAAATACCCGCGTGAAAAATCAAAAGTCCACTTATTTATTGAAACGCCACCGCATGTTTGACTAAAATTGAACCGTTTGACTATACTTGGAACATGAATATATCACATCCGACGGCTAAAATTCATCTGACGAAAGAGTTGGAAATCTTCAAAACATATTTTTATACATACATATATTATATTTGTGTTTATCTAAGTTAATTCAAATATCCAATCGAATAATCTAATGATTTCAGTTTGATTTAAGTTGGAATTGCACATTAAAACAAAAATAAAAAATAAAAAAAATAAAATAAAGAAAAGAAGAAGAAGAAGAATAGCACACTATAGAATGCACAATATAATATAAAACATGATGCACATTAGTGACTTCAAACTGCACAATAGTGTTAGATCAAATACCTATTAACATAACAAGGTGCATTTTAACAAATATTAAAATTTTGGTTATTTTGATCCGGTTTCGCCTTTATTTACAAACAAAATAACAAATAACATAACCGAATAAACTAAATAAAATTTATTATTTTTATACTTTACCTATATAATACTATAAAATATTAAATAATGAATTATAAATATTAAATATCTTTTCATAAACAAAAATATACTGCACTTCAAGTGCACATTAGTGCTACATGAATTGCACATTATTAGCTAACAAATTGCACTATAGCGATTGAAACAACCAGACGAATTTTCTAGTATGAATTTTATATTTTGGTTTGATTATATGTTTTTACTTTTAAAATTTTAGGTATCTCGTATCTATGACATCTTTATTGATTAAAATAACCAAACTGGTAGATTTATATGAAAAAATATTATTTTATTATTATATTATTTTATTTCCCTTTGGGATAATCAATAAAAATATAAATTTCGAGTGCACATTAGTGTTGGACAAATTGCACACTAGTGATTGTCGGATTGCATTGTACCGACTGAAACCGACCGAACTAAGATTTTGGTTTAAATTTTTTATGTCGGTTTGATAATTTGTTTTTTTTTACCTTTGAAATATTGGTCATTTTGGATGCCCGTTTTATTTTTAAAAATAGTCGAAATAACCAAACCGACTAAACTATATAAAAATATTATTTTGTTATATATTTATATAAAAATAATATTTTTCCAACACCAAAAAATATATATATTAAATGTTATATAAAATATTAAAATACTAAATATGATTTTATAATTTGAAGTATATTTCAATTCAATTATTTTGGTTAATTTCATTAACCGATCAAATAAACTAATTAATTTTGTTCGATTTTAGATTGGGTTGAGACAAAACACCGGTCAGTTCATAATGTACAAGAGCGACGCACAATATTATTAGATGACTTGCACATTAATGTATGATAGATTGCACATTATTGGACATATTAATTATTATTATTGTACATGTATTGATTTGCAATATATTTAAACTTTATTAATTTGTAGATGAGTCCCTAATACTTATCTAATTTACAAAACCAAGCCCCCCAAATTCCAACCCTTATCTAATTTGTAAAAGTGAAGCCCCTAAATTTCATACCCTCCAAGACCTCAGCCTCCAGTTATTCACCGAAACCCGCCGCACCTGTTGTGTATTGTAAAAAACATCACAAAGCTAACATAAATCATTGAGTCTAAGATTCACATGTTAGAATTGGATTTAACTTTATTTGAAATAAATCGATTAATCCCAGGAGCTTTCATATTGAATAATTGAGAATCATAACCGAATAGCGGAAGCGTACCTGATGGATTCATGTTGATTGATCCCTTTAGAACTCGATCCTTTTAGAACTTAAAATTTAATTTGGGATTCGGAAATCTTCCAAAAGACCGTGAACTTTATTTTTCCTTAATTTCCTTAATTTTCTTCTCGACGCATGAAGAAAGAAATGAAATTGTCTTATATAGACAAATGTTGGGATTCATTGTTTATCTTCATTAATTGCTATAATGACTTTCAACTTCTCTTCATTAATAGATCATTAATTGATCTGATAACTTTCAAGAGAAGAATTCATAATTGATAAGATAAATAATACTTTAATGAATGCCCCTTTATTTTTCACGGCTTTTGGGGACTCCACCCATAAATAACTTTAACCCAAATTATATATTATTTAGGTCTTTTAGTTTAATATTATTATTTGCTACGTCACCAAATAATAATATTATCGGGTGTCCACATTTAATTATTCCACAATTCAAATTAAGTTCCTTAGCCAATATGCAAAATATGATCACTTAATTTGGCTAAACAATATAATGACCCAATGTATTAATTACACATATTTAATCCCAAATAGATTAACAATCTCCCACTGGATTAAATATGTGTCCGGATAATACATTATACTTTATAAGCTCAAAATATGGTCATTATTATAGAACTTAAACAATCTGGTCCATTAATCACAACAATATAGGACTAAAGCAGTTTTCGCTGAATAGATACAACTAAACTATCAATAGTCACATATATCACCATGATTAAATGACATAGAACAAACTGTGGAACATGTGGCATGAAAATTACATGAATGTGATCAGCACATGTCAATTTTCAACTAGTCCAAACTTAATTAGATCGTTAAGTACCATAATATAATGTACAAAGTGTCATGAACCAAAACTTTATTTCTGATCAGAATAAGCACTTTATACAACATCGAAAAAAATGACAAAATATGTAGCAAATACTCCCACTAGATTGAAGCTTCTTGAATATGTAACACACCCATATGAGCAGTATGCTCGTAAAATACCATAGGTGTTACACCTTTAGTTAGGGGATTTGCTAACATAGATTTTGTCCCTAAGTGTTCGATGGAAATATAACCACTTTGTGCCCTCTCTTTTACAGCTAGGAACTTAATGTCAATATGCTTTGACTTAGATGAGCTCCTATTGTTATTGGAGTACAGAACGGCTGATTTATTGTCACAAAATATCTTGATAGGTCTTTCAACCTCTGGAATAATTCGCAGCCTTGTGACAAAGTTCTTTAACCATGTTCCCAGGTTTGATGCCTCAAAACATGCCACAAACTCAGCTTCCATAGTGGAAGTGGTAACAAGTGTTTGTTTAGCACTACGCCAGGAAATGGCACCACCAGCCAACATAAATAAGTACCCAGACGTAGATATCCTACTGTCTTGGCACCCCGCAAAATCAGAGTCAGAATATCCAACGATCTCCAAATGGTCTGATCTTCTATATGTGAGCATATAATCTTTAGTTCTCTTAAGGTATCTCATCACCCTTTTGGCTGCTTTCCAGTGATCCAATCCAGGATTACTCAAGTATCTACCCAACACACCAATTATGTACGCAATATCCAGACGCGTACATACTTGAGCATACATTAGGCTCCCAACTGCTGATGCATAAGGGACCTTTTTGCATTTTCTGGATTTCTATATTTTCCTCTGGGCATTGACTTAGTCTAAATTTATCACCTTTAGCCACAGGGGTATTTCCTGGTTTGCTATTCTGCATGCCAAAACGCTCAAGCACTTTATCTATATAGCTCTTTTGTGATAACCCTAGAATACCTCGAGATCGCTCTCGATGTATCTGGATTCCTAATACAAAAGACGCTTCACCAAGATCTTTCATCTCGAAATTATTCGATAGAAATTTCTTAGTTTCATGCAACAGCCACATATCGTTTGTAGCAAGCAGAATGTCATC